GTCTTTCATTTATTCATGGGTTTGCCTTTGAGTAAATATAATCCTTCTGGCATTAATATAAAGGGAGAGGCTTCTGCGAACTAACCATCGCATGGTAAAACAGATTTGATTTTTTTTTCTTGAAGAGGTTGTAGTGAAGACTACAACTGGTAACTGTATGTAATATTTTTTTCTTCTGTTTTAAGCGGGGGGAAAAAGAGAGGTGGTGTTGAACAGGCAAGAAAAATAATGATGGAATTAATGAGCGATTTCCTGGCAGGAAATCTTTTTTGAAAAGTAATAACTTTGGGTGGCTAATGCAAATAAAAACAAGGTTTGCTTTTTTTAATAGTTTCACAGCTGAATAAGCATATGGCTTCCTCCTAGGTAGTGTCTCAGTTCTAAAATTTAATACTTAAAACTTTTGTGTGCGCTTTTTTTTTGGTGGGGGGGCATGATTCATTCAGCTGAAGAGTAACCAGGGACAGGTGGTTCTTTTTAGATCATTGTGGTTTCTCATAACCATGCTTATTTGTTTACTGTGGCAAACTTGTCTTGATGTTGAGTAGTTATTGCTATTCTTCTTCCTTGATGCAGACTTCAATTACTATTTAAATACCTTTTTAGTGCAACCATTCATTTAAGGGGAGAGGGAGGGAAACAAACACTTTTTAAAGTTGTAACAAAAAATTGTGATTGAGAGAGGATCATGTTTTATTGCTTTAATTGAGAAATAGTATTATAAACTGCACTTGATGCTGACACAAGTTATTTGCCAAGCTTGTAGATAGTATAAATGTAAGTTACTTTGTCCAGTGATAATTCTCCTCATACTTGGAAGATTGTAGTCAATTGTGATAATCTTATATGGAAGTTTCACCTATTATAGATTGGTATATTTACAGTATTATAAGATTTGATAATTGTGTACTTAATATTCCTGAAGTTTCATCAGCAGTGGTAAAATAGAAATAATAAGTCAAAACCTGTTCTATTACATTGGTGCGATCATGGTTGATCTCAGTGAGATTTGCACCCATGTAACTAAGAGCAATATTTTGGCCCAGGGAGAGTGGCTCCCAAGACTTGAACTCTTCCTCCCCTTTGCCATATTGACTTTCTGCTGCTGCCTTTTCAAAATGAATTTAATATCCAAAGAAGTTAGAGTACCAGTCAAGGTCCTTTTTCATATGTAATTTTGGGTCAGTGAAGACAGCGGTGAAAATATCCAGACTCTGGATACTTAAGAATCCTGAACCTTTTTGTGAAACTGCAAAGAAGTCACAAGGATGTACAAATTCTAAACCAGTGCATCTGTTTTTGTACATATACAAAACAGTGTCGGAAGAAGGGGAACAATTCTTATTTTCATCTTGACTGCTTCATTTGCCTTTGTGTGCTCCCAAACTTTACTGATCAATCTCCAAAATATTCTCAAGTCTCAACGTTTCATTTTTTGCAACTTAGTGTTAATTTTTGAGAGCTTTGGGGATCATAAGAGCTTTGGGATTTTTTCCAATTTGACCATCATTTCTGGTCCTAATATAATGAAACCATTCTTCTTTTCATGGTGAAATTATTCTCCTGGTGATTAGGGCAGAATGATGGATCTCTCATCAGCAAAAAGGGTATAGGCAGTTTCGTACATATTTGTGGCTGTATATTCTGAATAAAATGCTTCAAAACTGCTTATGAAATTGTCATTCCACTTGGGTTTCTGCTTACCTTTTAATTTCTTGGGATTGAGGTGGAATTGCAGATGCCTTACATGCACTCTGGACTGCTCAGTATTCTTTTTTGTACAAACTTTGCAGTATTGCCAACTCTTGCTACTTAATTGTGAGTCTAATGGTATTTAGTGCTTTTGAAAAATGTTTAGAGTTATTTGGTCATGCAAGGATCTCTGCTTTTATTTTATTAGTTTCTAGTCATCCTGTTTGTGTAGAAAAGCTTCAAAATGTGAACCTTAAAAGGTTTGCAACCCAAGAGATTGTGTTTTTGTCTTAAAAATCATAAGATTCATCGCCTGGTTTTGAGAAGTTGGGGCTGATAGAATTATTGCTAATCACAAGCATAATAATCAAAAAGTTCAAAATTACATGAATGTATTTTTCCCTCATAAGACTCGTGCTTTGTTTTTCTCAGCCCCCAAAATTAAGTTAGTTTAGACCAGTGTTCTTTAAACTTTTTAAGACCGAAGAACACCAAACAATAATTTTTTTTTATGATGAACACCAAGGATTTTTTTGTTGAGCAAAAAAAAAAGGTGGGGGGGGTTGACCAAAGTTGCTGAGAAAAAAAAGGGGGTGCTGTGCCTTTAAATGGCCCCACGCTCCTCACTCCCACGCCCCCACCGGAGGAGTCACCTGCGCCTTTAGGGACAGCCATTTTTAATTCTGTTCTCCTCAGCACACCAGCAACTGCTGGTGTGCTGCAGAACACAGTTTAAGAAACACTAATTTAGACTTAATATAAGCGAGTTCTTGGTTTAAATTATTAAATAGATTAGGTGACTTAATTAGATTAGGTGTGACAATAACATGTTAACTCTAATAATTGTCCTTTTAAGAAACAACGAATAGTCTGGTAGCACTTTACAGACTAACAAAGCATGTAGATGGTATCATGAGCTTTCATGGGCAAAACCCACTTCTTCAGATGACAGAAGAAGTGGGTTTTGCCCACGAAAGCTCATGATACCATCTACATCAGGGGTGGCCAGCCTGTGGCTCCAGAGCCACATGCGGCTCTTCAGAAGTTAATATGCGGCTCCTTGCATAGGTACCAAATCCAGGGCTGGAGCTACAGGTGCCAACTTTACACTGAGCCGGAGGGTGCTCATTGTTCAACGCACAGCTCTGCCCTAGGCCCTTTCCCGCTAGGATCCTGCCACTTCCCACCCTCTACACTGAGTCTGTCACACCCATGCTTCCCCCTTCCAGTGTCTCGGCTACCCCTCTGAAGCTTTTGTACTTTTAAGAGCAGGGCTAATTATGAAATGATTATAAATAGTTGACTTGTGACTTTATTTCTGATGCCGTTTGTTCATTTTGTCTTTCGCTGACTTTTTGAAAACTGATATATGGTCAGAAAGCCCACTAATGCCCCTGTGTTATTTAGGTGTAGTATGGACTTCATTTTCAAATGTGTGTGTAATTTTAACGTTGAGGGAAAATTGAGAGAGAAAGATACGGGACACGCCTCCCTCCGATAGACCCTGAGGCTTGTCCTTCAAAACCCCTACTATCTTAGCATTAAACTCTCATAAGACTGCTAATTGTATTAAGTTAAGTGGTGTGTTTATTTTGTGGACAGATGCCCACTAAGGTTTACGAAGGAGACCACAACTCTTATTTTTATTTATTACTTCAGTTGGGATTTAAAATTCCGAACTTTACAAATGAATAGCTAGTGCATTGCAACATAGGAGCCTTCACACTGGTAAATATGTTTAGTTGTCACAGCCAGCACAGACTACAGATGAGACTCCTCAGAGTCTGGGAATCTGTGTGGCGTTTAATTTTTCTGGTAAAGTTTTTATTTTAAAACAAGAATATCCTTAACCACAGTCTCCCTGGTAAACTTATCCTGATGATTAAAAGTATTAAGTAGAATTGCTGTGTTTGCTTGTGGGTTGTAATCAAATCATGATGGAGACCATGCCAGCAACGTTAACTCTGAAATGGGCAGGCCTACTAGATGTACTTATATTTTGATTTAGTTAAAACCCACAATAAAATAACCTCAACAATGAACTGAAATTCTGACCCTCTTTGATCTCAGTTCTGCTCTTCTGTTACAAGTTTATTCCCTTTGGAGGAGGGGAGTGCATGAGGATGTAAGAAGTTTGTTTGGCTCTCATTTCAGTTAATGAAATGGCATTCATGAAAAGTACGAGGTATGGCAGTAATCCTAGTTAAAGTTATCTTGTTATTGTATGTTCAGGTGTCATTACATGGCTTTTAGTGGGAACTTTTATTTTAATGTTTTTCCCCTTAAGGTCACTTTCACATCCTGTTGCATAAGTAATTCTTTTTTACATAGGAATGTATAGACCAGCATCTGTTTTTTAAAATGGTCTGCTGTCACCTAATCTTTATATCTGGTGACCTTTTGGCCTAAAAGCTTGTCTATTGCATCCTATTTGTTGATTTAATAAAAAGCATATTATTATTATTTTGCCTTGTGCATCTGGACTGACTCACACAAAGGCTTAGGATAAATGAGTTATCCCTGGTCAGTCAGTGGTAGAGTCAGGATCAGAAACTAGGAACATGGATCACAGGTGGGTTTTTTTATCTGAGCACTAAACCACATGGCTTTGCAGATGTCATTAGCATAATGCTTTATAAGGTGTATCTGCTGTTTTCTAAAGAACTTTGTTTAGTCACTTCCCCTTTTTATAGGATGTGCTATAGGTCTGAAAGGAACTCAAGGTGATAAGCTTTAAAACTTCTGTTTTGTAAGCATCCAGGCCTATTAAATCATTGATAGTGACAATGCAAAAATAGTAATGCAGTGTTAACATAGCACATCTGCAAAAAATCCTTAAAGTATACTAAGTTATGTGTACTGAAAGCAATTTTCCCTTTATTCTAATTATGCCTTTGTTCATTTTTCTTGTGATTTACCTTACCACTGGAATAATACTGTAGGATAGATCTTCTTGTTTAGTGCTTCACAGCCTGTGATGCAGTTTCATTCATATATGAGACACATTTTTGAAAAGTGTAATAACAACCAACATTATCTTGAATCCCCTTACATAAGTGGTGTGAGACAGATGAAAATCTGATACAAAAATATTCTTATGAATAAGATAGAAACTTCTGAGGAGTATTATCATATACTTCATAACTTAATTATATTCTATAATCTATGTTCTGTTCCAGTTCATATAATTCTGATAGTATAAATGCTCTCCCACCTAAATGAGCTATGTTTACTGTCACAATCTCCCCGGTGCAACTTTTTTAATCAAACACATAATAAAGTGCTAAATAAAAGCATTCCCACCTATATCAAGTTCTTGTTGTTCTGCATAAGTTTTCAGTAATTTATTTACCTAGGAAGACTCATATCAGATGCACATCTGGTTTTCAACCAAGTCCTGTTTTTTATCCAATTTTACATCAAGTTGATGAAGACATAAGATGACCTAGTAACTTCCTTAAGGTCACACAGTGATTCAACATGTCAGCTGGGATTAGAACCAGACTTTGTTCTGTGCTCTAACCATTGGACCACACAAACTCTATATTCTAGACTGCTCTACATTAGTCAACAAATTAGTAGTCTATCTGTAACCTTTCTGAAAATAATTTCCTTCCTACTGCTTATAGTTCTGTGCTACAGTAGGAAGGTAATTCACATATTCCCGAATGCAATTTCATTCAGTCTGATCTTGTACCCCTTCATGAGTCTCTGGGTTTGCTTCCAGTTCTTTCTATTCCTGTGTCTCTTGTCTGGCAATGAAGTTTCTTCTTTGGCTTGGGAAAGCACGCGTTTAAAACCAGTCTCTGTGAAGTCAAAGAGAGAAAGTTGCAGCTCTCCCATCTATGCATGTGGATCAGAGAGAGTTCTAGCTCCCTTCCCACAAATGAGAGGGATTTTTTAAGAGTCATTCTAAGGAGAGGCCTAGCTGGGAAAAACCTTACTATTCAAGCCTGCAAGAACCAATAATTAATGCCAATGAACTTTGATTACTTTGTCACCACTTTCCAGACATGGTTTATTCACTTGTATATCAAGCTCCTACTACAAAGTGGATGATCTAATTGACAGTGATGGTTATTTTTACAAATAGCATTAATAAAACCAAATGTAGTTCATAACTGGACACGTATATTTCCCAAAACTATCAACAGCCATGACATTGTAACTAGTGAAAGGTAGTCAGCATAACCATTGAGAAAAACATGGTCTGGTTTGTGTTAGCACACCATGTTTTCCATTGTTCCAGTAGTGAACTTGCAGCCGTAAGATTGCCTTAGTATGCCTCTATCAATGTATTCTGAGTAGCTGTCACATAGTGACTATTGCACTATCAAAGAACATAGATATTTTTCAAGAAACTCCCAATTTCACCTAGAACTAAGATAATAGATGTGGCTGATGCACAGCAATCTCAGATCTCATCAATTCATCAATCTCAGATCTCAGAGCCTGTCAGAGGGCCCACCTACCTCTTTTCTCTGACCCACGTGGCAGTTACTGGCCCTGCCCTCTCATGCGTTGCACAGGAGCCAGGGATGCAGGAGCCCTTTCAGCGGCTTCTATATAAAGGGCTCTCACCTTCTCTGCAGCTGCAGGCAACATGTTAGCAGCTGCAGGGAAGGCTCGAGCCCTTTCAGTAGAAGCAGTTGAAAGGGCTCATGCCTCCCTAGCTCCCTAGGCAATACATTGTCAGTGGGGCCGGGAGCTATGAGCCTTTCCAACTGCTTCTATACAAAAGGCTCACAGGGAAGGCACAAGCCTTTAAATAGAAGCAGTTGAGAGGGCTTGCAGTTCGTAGCCCCGCCGCTAGCGCGTTGCCTGGGAGCTGCTGGGGCGGTGCGAGCCCTTTCTCTTGTTTCTATTGAAAGGCCCCACGCCCTCTGCCCAAGGCCCCGTCCCTTCCAGGGCGGCCCACGACCACTTTGAAATTGTTTGAAGTGGCCTCCCTTCATAATTATTACCCACTCCTGATCTAGCTTGACAATAGTGTGAATGCTTTGTCTAGGAAAAAGAAGTTGTTGATGAGTGTCAGAGTTCGGGCTCCCCCTCAGGCTTACAGCCCAATCATCATCGGGGTAGCCTGCCCCAAATTCACCATCCTCCACCTGTGTTCTTTAGCTCGTAGTCTTGGGCTGTGCTGCCCTCCGAGTGTTACCACAGTTACCCGACTGCTCGGGCGGCCGTCGTGCCGGCCCCGTGGTGATGCAGGACATGATTCGGGGTTTACCTCTCTCCAGGTTTCGGCTCGGGGTTCTCCCTGACCGCTGGGGCGTTCTCCTCCGGGGCAGGGTTCAGCCCGCCGCTCACCAGTCCACCGAAGTCGGCGTGGGCTCCCCCCTCCCCCCCAGGTTCCTGTTCTCGGCCCCTTACCCCTTCCTGCTTCTCCGGTTTCCTCCTCTCCTGGCTAGCGTCCCTGCTTTTTGAATCCCCCTCCAACTCTAGCCCCACCCCCTTTCCTCCGGGGTGCGGGCTGATGACGTCAGCTGGCGTCTCTGCCCAGCCGGCTCCCCCAGCACAGCCGGTACACGTGTGCCACGGTCCTGCTTGGGGTTGGCAGGGGGAATCCCCTCCTGTGCGGGTGAGTCCCTTTTTTCATGGCTGCCCCCCCCCCCCGGGGGATTGGAGAGTGCGGGGGGCTGAGGACTCTGTTGCGTCGAAGCCTGGTGCCCCGTCACAATGAGAATCTTGAGAGAGCCTGTCTTTTCTGGTCATTACAGCCTTCAAAACACTGGGCCAGCTTGCATTCTCAGGCATCATGTAAGTGTGGGAGTAGACAGCCATGATAAAGACATCTTTGATGGGACTAAAAAGAAAAGGAGATTTTTTTGTTCAGTTAATACTCTCAATATGCTTTATCCTAACTGGTAGAAAGTACAGGTTCCATATTCAGGTTGCCTTTAACTTTCTTTTTCAATGTGCTTGTATGAACCTGCAACCTGCTGCTTAGCATTCTCACTGCAAAGCTATTTTCTTTATTTTCTTTTGACTGTTTATTTCCGGGGGTGTCAGAAAATGCATAGGTCTAGCTTTTGAATCCTGCTCTCTCAGAATTCCAGTTGTGTGATCACTAGTCCTTGTAGCCTAAGAATTCATAGTGCAGAAATTAAGGAATTTTCATTTCAGCCTCTGAGCCATCTCTGGTGCTACCACCAGCTGTTACATGTATTTTGCAAAATCCCTTTTCCCAGTCCTGGGCAAAGCAATTGTTTTCTTTGCACAAAAAATGTGGTATTTGAAATAACTTCCTGGAGGCTAGAACATTATGGAATGTCACGTAATAAAATGGACAGTGCTGGTAATATCATCAAATTACTGTTATAAAACTGAACTGTAAAATATAAATTGGCCTATTCAGTGCTTGGTGAGAGCAGGGACGGCAGAGGTGGGCTCTTGGTGAGAGAAGGTTCCCCTATACTGAAGGTCAAGGAAGGGGTGTGCATTATAGACTTTTTTTCTTCTCTTCCCCCCCCACCCCCCCGTTATGTGTTGTGGCTAAAAGGGAGGTTTCAGATGACATAGTGGGAGTTGTGACCGTCTGGGAAAATATGGTGGTAAGATCAGGACAGGCCAGCTGAGGGGAACAAAGTTTAAACAGTTATGGGCTCTCCTTCACTCCAGTACTGTTCCCAGCTTCAATGACTATGGGAATGTTAACAGCTGGCTGTCGTGCCTGACGGTGCTGTTGTTGAATGCCAAGGCGGTATCCCACAAGACGCTGTTCATCCAGGTCTTAATCCTGGATGAAGGGGCCAACCTGGCCTGTATCACTGAGACCTGGCTGGAAGTGGAGAGAGGCATTGACCTTTCCCAATTGTGGTTGGCTGGATTCTCAGTTCAGCACCAGCATCCACTTGACGGTCAGGGTGGGGGAGTGGTGATTATGTATTGGGATACCATCCCACTGGCTAAGGCCCCAGACCAACCAACTGCTAGATTTGAGTGTCTGTACCTGGTGTTGGGTGGCCGGAATAAGTTGGGTGTTCTGCTTGTGTACCACCTGCCTTGCAACACGACAGATGCTCTGCTTGAGGTGATCTTATGTAGCATTGAGGACTGCAAGACTTTTGGTCTTGAAGGACTTGAATGTTCATGCCAAGGCTGTGTGGTGTGGTCCAGCTCGAGACTTTTTGGCCTACATGACAACCTTAGGACTATCCCAAGAAATAACTGCCCCCAAACATGTGACAGGTTATACTCTTGATCTAGTCTTTTGGTCTAAGGGTGATAGAGATTTTGGGATAAGGGATGTGGTTATGCTCCCTTTGTCATGGACCGATCACTACCTGATCAAGTTTACACTATTTGCTGACTTTCCCCTCCGCAGAGGTGGGAGACAGATTAAAATAGTCCATCCTTGGAGGCTGATGGATCCAGAGGGTTTCCTGAGATCTCTGAGGGACTGTTTGGCCATTATGAACGTTAAGGTAACCCGGGCAATTGACATGATTTCTCCTAAGTGCCCTTTTTGGGCTAGTTGAACCAAATTTGTTCCCTAGTTTTGTGAGGAGTTGCAGGCAGCAAAATGGACCGTGCAATGGGTAGAGCACCACTGGAGGTGCTAGCAATGGGTAGAGCACCACTGGAGGTGCTAGCCAAGTCCGTTTGATTGCAGGTTAGAGCCAAATTGCGAGCCTATTCTGTGGCGGTGCCGATGGCAAAGAAATGTTATTCCTCCACCCACATGAGGTCTGCACGGTGCTGTCTGGTGAAATTTTTTCAAGTGGTGCGGGGCCTCTTACAGCTTGGCCATGATGAAATGGGGGAGTCCTCAGCAATCCATTGTGATTTGTTTGTGTAGCACTTTGCAGATAAGATCACTCGCATCCAGTCTGATAGGGAATCTGCTTGTCATGGATGTGGGGTATGGAATATGTTGACTGCACTGCCTAGTCGTTTTTCTTTGGATCAGTTTCAGCTTTTGTAGATCATGGATGTTGAGAAGGTGCTTGGAGGAGTGCAACGGACCACATGCTCGGTCGACCCCTGCCCATCATGGCTTATTAAATCGAGCCGAAAAGGGATGTCTTGTTGGATCCAGGGGATTATTAATGTCTATTTTAGGTCTTGGACAGTTCCTGCCACCTTGGAAGAGGCGGTGATAAAACCGTTCTTTAAGAAGTCTTCCCTGGACCCAAACAATGTGAATAAGTATCGCCCAGTCACTAATATTCCCTTCTTGGGCAAGGTACTCAGGTGGGTGGTGGTGTTGCAACTCCAAGCTTTCTTGGAAGAAATAGATTATCTAGATCTATTTGTCTGGTTTAAGGCCTGGTTTTGGAACAGAAACCACCTTTGTCGCCCTGGTAGACGACCTGTGCCAGGAGACAGAAAGGGGGAGTGCATACTTATTGATTCTCTTGGACCTCTTGGTGGCTTTTGATATCATTGACCATGGTATTCTTTTGGAGCACATGGTGGATTTGAGTACTGGAGGCAATGTTTTGCAGTAGTTCTAGTCTTACCTGTCGGGACGCTTTGAGAAGGTGCAGTTATGGGGCTGCTGCTTGATCCCGTGGCAATTGTGCTACAGGGTCTTACAAGATTCCATCTTGTCCCCTATGTTGTTTAACATTTACATGAAACCACTGGGAGAGGTCCTAAGGAGATTTAGAAGACTATGCCATCAATGCAGATGACACCCAACTCTATTTCTTTGTGACATTGGATCCAGGTATGGTGGCAACTAATCTGAACCAGTTTCTGGAGGTGGTGATGGACTGGATGAAGTCAAATAGCCTGAAGCTGAATCAGATAAGGCCAAGGTCCTGTGGTTCAGGAAGTTATCTGACCAGGATTGTGGTGCATTACCTGTTCTGGACGGGGTCATTGTTCCCCTGAAAGAACAGGTATGCAGTCCTCCCCTTTTTTAACATTTAAAAATCAGATTTCCTTGGTGGCCAGCAGTGCTATTGGGCAGCTTTGGATCAGCTGTGACCCTTCCTGAATAAGAACAACTTGGCTACAGTGATTCTTGTTCTTGTCACATCCCGATTGGATTATTGCAATGCACTCTGTGCAGGACTGCCTTTGAAGAGTCTTCAGAAGCTTCAGCTAGTCCAGAATGCAGCTGCTTGGGTTTTAACTAATACTCGTTATATGGGGCACATTCTGCTGGTGTTCTGGCAGCTGCACTGGCTTCAGTATGTTTCTGGGGATAATTCAAGGTCTTGGTTATGATTTATAAAACACTAACTGGCTTAGGACTAGGGTGTTTGAAGGACTCTTTTCTCCCGTATGAACCCACCTGGCGATTGAGGTTGGCTAGGGAGGCTCTGCTCCTCCACTTAGAGAGAGAAGGTTGACATCTGTGCAGAGCAGGGCTTTTTCAGCCTTGCCCATAGGCTGTGGAATTCTCTCACCCAGGACATTTTCCTGGTGCCAAAGTTGGCACTGTTTCGGCACCAGACCAAAGCCACCATTTTTACCTGTGCTTTTATTGTTGTTTAATTGTTAATACATGTGTGTGTGCGTGTCCTTCCTCTTGAGGTGTTTTAGCCTGTTTTATGTCCCATCCCCCCTTTGAGGTCCTTTGTATTTATTTATTGTGGTTTTTTTTAATTGTAAGCTGCCTTGAATATTTTCAATAGAGGGGCAGGGTAAAAATATTTTAAGTGAATAAATGGTAACAATTGGTGATACTTATACAGTATCATCCTGTAGAATATGGCTTCAGATAATAGCTAAAGACATAGGCACTTACTTGTACAGTCGATTGCCGAAGAGATGGAGAGCTAATAATGAGTTCACTGTTATAAAAAGTAAATGCTGTTAGTCCACCTAGGAGTTACTTTCTGCTCTAGCATTGGGAGAAGCATCTATTCACATGCTGGTCTTTAGGAAAACTTTCTTCCCCTTTTGAAGATGTCTGAAAAGTAGAAATGTTAAAGGGGCCCTTGGCAACACCTTGGGAGGCAGTCTGCTCCTCGCTTACAGACAGCCTGCCCCTCCCAACCTGAAACACATACCTACCACCAACCACATCCCCCACAACAGAAATACTAACTCAGGGTATGTCTACACTACAGCGCTAATTCGAACTAAGTTAGTTCGAACTAACGCATCCAGACTAAAAAACTAGTTCGAATTAGCGTTTTGCTAATTCGAACTAGCATGTCCACACAGAGCGGACCCTGAACCGGGGTTAAGGATGGCCGGAAGCAGTGCTGGCAGGGCATCAGAGGAGGACTTAGGGCGTGGAGCTGCTGTCTCAGGCTAGCCGAGGGCTGTGCTTAAAGGGACCTGACCCCCACCCCGGACAGACAGTTCTCAGGGGTGCCCCGCTTGCAAAGCAGTCCTGGCTTGGAGTGCCCTGAGTGCCCACACTGGGCACATCACAGCACTCGGCCATCAGACCGGCTGCACTTGCCGCAGGCTGCCATCTTGGGAGAGGGGACAATTGGGGGGCTGCAGGAAAGCTTCTACCCCCAGAAGCCTGCAGAGCCAGCCCAGTCCTCCCCATCAGGGGCTCGTACCCCATTCCTCCCTCACCTCCTTCCATTTACCCCTCGCTAGCCCCCCTTCCTGATGTACAAAATAAAGGACAATTGTGTTCAAAAATAGATTCTCTCTTTATTGA